AGTAATATGCGTAATAATTTTGATAATAATAGGAATACTAAGGATAGTGACGATAGAAGTAGTAATATGCGTAATAATATTGATAATAATAGGAATAATAAGGATAGTAACGATAAAAGTAGTAATATGCGTAATAATTTTGATAATAATAGGAATACTAAGGATAGTGACGATAGAAGTAGTAATATGCGTATTAATATTGATAATAATAGGAATAATAAGGATAATGACGATAATAGTAGTAATATACGTAATAATATTGATAATGAGAGGAATAATAAGGATAATGGCGATAAAAGTAGTAATATGCGTAATAATATTGATAATAATAGGAATACTAAGGATAGTAACGATAAAAGTAGTAATATGCGTAATAGTATTGATAATAATAGGGATAATAAGGATAGTGATAATAAAAGTAGTAATATGCGTAATAGTATTGATAATAATAGGGATAATAAGGATAGTGATGATAAAAGTAGTAATATGCGTAATAGTATTGATAATAATAGGAATAATAAGGATTTTGATGATAGAAGTAGTAATATGCGTAATAACATTGATAATAATAAGAGCCGTAAGAATAATTACAGTTCCAGCAATAATAATAGTCGTAGTATGGATAATAATAAGAGTAATAAGGATAATAATAATAGTTCTAACCATTATAACAATAGTTGTATGAGTAATAATAGGTTATACTGAAAATAGTAAGAGTAATAAGGATAATTACTCTTATAATAGAGTAATTATTGCCCAGTAATTGGGGAATATTTGTGTTAGGTCCCCAAACCTAACCTGATTCAACCTAACCTTAGGCCCTGACCTAACATAGTCCGACCTTACCCTGGACCCTGACCTAATCTAATGTAATTTAACCCTAGGCCCTGACCTAACCTAATATGACCTAACTCTAAGCCCTGGCCTAATATAATTGATTGTTTGATTATGTTGTGGGCGTCGACTACTATGGTCATTAGGCCGCCTAATATAATATGACCTAACCTGACTGATGGAATATCGGACATTATTTAATTTAAAATACCAGAAAACACAATAACGTTTGAAAGACTAAATGAATTTACTATTTTGGAAATGCAACTGTGAAGTTAAATGAAGTTTAATGAAGAACTTCATTAACACTGACTTTGAAGAACTTATTTTAAGGAAGTTCATTAATCGTGATTAAATTTCATGGTCGTTTTTTTTAAATAATAAATTCATTTAAGCTTATTTAAACGTTTAAGCGTATAATTAAAAATATAAGCGTATTTAAAACGTTTTTCTGTTTTGTTTTATTTTAAATATAATAATCTTCCATATTCCATCAGTCATGTTAGATTAGGTTAGGGTGGGGTTAGATTAGGTCAGAAAATACTAAATAACATTAATGGATTTGGGAATATAATCTTACCTGAAACGCAGAAATTTGTGGAATAGGATTTCTAAAAATTAGTAGAAATGGGAAATGGTGTCATCTTTTCGTCCATTATAATTTCCGGATACAAAGATTTCAACCTTGTAAATTTATTTCGGTAATATTTAGAATTTCACATAAAAATTCATAAAAATTCTCAGAAGTGGCATGTTGTTTCACCTCCTCGCATGTTATACTCTCCTGGTGTAACGTTTCAGATTTTGATTCTCATATTTTGCGAAGAATTTCGTGTGTAAAATGAAAAAAGAAATAGTTTCTCGCCACCTAGCGGCATGGCGCTGTTAACAGCATTTGTGGCGGTTTTTTCAAAAGACTGTTTCCCGTTTTCTTGACGTCTTTATGTGTATGAAAAAAAATAATAATGAAATAATTCGTGTGAGAGGAATAAAAAACACATCGTGCAAGCGTGATGGCGTTTATTATCAATAAACAACTTATTTAACAGGACCTTGATGTACACGAGAAAGAAGTATTCAAATTGTTTACTTATGTTTCCTTTTTAGTATGTATGTAAGTATGTAATACGTCTAATTTACGACTTAAAATGTCAATTAAGTTAGGAATGGACCTTCGTTAAGTCCTTATTTTCGTAATGGTATGTGCGTATTTTACATTTGCAATTTGGATACACGTGCGAGTTGAAGAATATCCGAATCGCTCGATCGGAACATTCGCACGCTTATAAACCATTCTAATCACTCGAAGTAACAAAATTTAACAGAGTATAAAACGATCGGTATACAATATAAACTCATAACGCGATAAAGTTACGAAACTTAAAATCGATTCGCTTTACAAGTGTAAAACTAAAACATAACGAAGTTATAAAATTCACGCAGCAGAATGAACTTCATTTAATCCCGCACAGAATGCATCTGCCAGGCGCAAGTATTCACAGGTTTCGTCGAATATTCTCTAAAGCTATAAAAATCGAAAAGTATATTTCTGACAATCAAACGAGTAGTTCAATGAAAGAAGATCGTTGCACAAAATCATTTGTCCTTATAGTCTTCTCTTTTTGGCCCATTCCTATCTTCTTAAATACTTTAGAGAGAGCTTGCACATCAACCGCTAAGACATAGTAACATTACAGGTTTATTTGGAGGTCCATCCTTATACATGGACTCGGATGCACCTGGAAGAATGAAAATTCATGTACTTTCTACTTTCATTCACATGTTTTCGAAATAATATACCTGTGTCAAATTAGCACCTCCATTGCCAATTTCTTTTCCAATTCGAATTAAACTGCAACATATATCTTTCAATTTCGACAGGAAAATTCTACATAATTATATTTGAATTGTATCTGAATTAAATAAACATTATACATTAAAGTGCAACGAGAGCGTTCCATGTAAATCCGTGGACCAAGTTCTTTCAATGCAAGCTCCAACACATATTCAACGATTTTAAATGCTCCTAAGTGTGTGTGTGTGTGTTCTGTTTCCATGTTTACGTCATTGTGTACACGTATTTTTTTTAAGTATTCCATAATCCTCAGTAGTATACAAGTATGAAGTAGGAGGCTGGGCACCGCCCACCGAGTTATCACAGTCGTCTGGTGCCGCAGCACATACGTATACGTGGTTCAGCCTTACAACCTACCTCCTTAATCTACTTTATAATTATACTTAATCGAAGGTGTACAGTATAGTCCCGTACCAGGTGATTCGCGATACGAGTTGACGATTCTTAGCTCTATCTGAAATGGAAAATGCGCGTTTATTGCTGGTACCTGTTAAACAGCGATCTAATTACGACCGATCGTGGTTCATTACAATTACAAATCAATTTGTTTTTTTTTTTTTTTGGAAACTTAATTATGAAAAGTAGCGGAATTTGTTTTTGTTAGGACTCTTTAAGAATAGGTCGCATTTGGAAATTTAGGAGGAACTTGGTAATATGGAAATTTGAGAAGTGGGGGAATTTGGTATTTTGGGGCTTTGGTGAATTGGGAATTTCAGAGTTGGAGAACTTGGTAATGTGGAAATTTGAGGAGTGGGGGATTTTGGTGAATTGGGAATTTCAGAGATTGGAAACTTGGTAATATGGAAATTTGAGAAGTGGGGGATTTTGGTATTTAGGGGTTTTGGTGAATTGGGAATTTCAGAGATTGGAAACTTGGTAATATGGAAATTTAAGAATGGGGGATTTTGGTATTTGGGGGTTTTGGTGAATTGGGAATTTGAGAGATTGGGAACTTGGTAATATAAAAATTTGAGAAGTGGGGGATTTTGGTATTTAGGGGTTTTGGTGAATTGGTCATTTGGGAGATTGAAGATTTGAGAATGCAAAAATTTGAGAAATGGGGGATTTCCGTATTTGGAGTTCTGGTAAATTGGGAATTCGGAAGTCGGAGGATCTGGGAATTGAAGAATGTAGAAATTTATTATTCCGAAATTTGGAAACTGAAAGTTTGAGGATCTGTGAATTTTCGAATCTAAAAATTTACAAACTCCAAAATTTCAAAATTTAGTAATTTACCAATTTGAGAATTTACTAATCTACAAATTTGAAAACTTACTAATTTGATAAGTTAAAAATTTGCAACTTCGAAACTAAAATTCTGATATAAGAACAGTAAATCATGTCACCCTTAAAAATTGAGTAGAATATTTCCTTTCAATTGCTACATCATGTTAAATTCACAATTCTCATTATTTCAAACGCAACTTTCCATATAACAATTCAATTAAATTCATTTTTTTTTCCACGATCGTTCGATGTCCTGACTTACATCACTACACCGTATATGGAGCTATACTGTAATAAAAGCTGTCTTCAACTGATAATATTGTTTTACTACGTCTCGATTGATTTGTTTCATTTGTGTACAGATTCCATAATGTCGCGGCAAGAATGAACAATTAGATTACAAAACAGTTCATCACGAATGCTAAAAACAAGCTCGTAAGCTACTAATGGAAGCACCCTGGGCCTCGAGTCGGCTATATACACTTGTTTTCTTTTAATACCGGAAGAAAATAGGATGCTATATAGGTAGCAGTGAAATAGGAGGACGTGTAACCCCGGACATTTTAATATCTTTAACAATAAAGTATTAAAAGAAATGTTATATTACATGTTTGCTTATGTTCATCGTGCAAATTAAACGATACAAGATAAATGTATCAGTAATAGTAATCATAAAAATGAAATTATCATTTCACATTACAATTATTATCACAGTCTTTTCTTTTTAGTAAATAATATTGCAAATGGATGACTTGTTAAGTTTAAACAAATACAACTTATTTATATTGACAACATACATTGAAATTGTATAATCAAATTTTATAAAAAAGAAATTGATTACAAGAAACTTTTAGTACAATATGTTTAAAAAATTACTCAGGAATTTTTTAAGACTGAAATTAAATGTGTCGATTACTGATACAGGTACCTTCATCAGTTCGATAGCATGCATCAAATCTCATCGACGTTAAATGTATTGTTACATGTTAATATTAACAATTAAATGTATTCAAATTCCTGAACATTCAGTTCAATTCCTTTTATATCGTGCGAATATAATGATAAAAATATTGTATTTGATCAAGTATTGAGTCGTTGATATGGCGGGTATATCCAGGCGTATTCATTACATTTTGCATTACTTGCCTTATTTTAATAACCAATAATTTAGAAAGCAATTCATAGTTCGTTTCACGTGGAAGAATCATTTTATTGTAATGTGTTTAAAAAACAGAAAATATTGATATAGGAGTACCCGCCATGTTTAAATTACTTAAAGATAGAGGTTCATTGGTCTACTAAGAGTAGAGTGTTATTAAACAATAAAATCTAAAATTATTCAAGAACTTTTTAAATTATAAAGAATCTGGAAGTTCATGCTTATTTCGTGAGTGATTAAAATTCATTAGATTACTGTTATCGTGTGTCCAAGGCTACCCACTCTTCCTCTATACCTACAGATACGTTTCAACATTTTGTTCAGCGAGAAAAACGCATTACCAGATGACGAATCTAACACAAATCTGATTAGTTCTAAACAATCAAAGTAACACGTTTATTACCTTAACAGAGAGTTTCAAGAATTATTTTGATAAACATTTTTTAAATATACTTTTCTGAACTTAAAGTTAACGGAGTAATTCTTAACATTATAATTTTACAATTCTCGGTAAATCTTTTAGCGTTAAATTTCCTGATCGATCACGAAATATTGTTACAATTTCAATATGTTGTCTTACAATTTTAAAATGTTACAACAAAATGTCTTACAATTTTAAAATCTTATATTATATTTCATTGTACACAATTTCAATTTTTGCTATTGATGCTACCTTTTTTACAAAAGAAATTCTTACAAAAACATCTTATAAAAGAAATAAAAAACAAAGCTAGACAATAATTAATACATAATAGGACATAATGAATTTTTCTCGCTGAACAAAAATGAGCGAGCTGAGACTATACATTTCAAACACTGACAATAGCGCGTTTAATTTTGTTTTCTAACATTGCACATTTGTTAACTAATTTCATTCGCGCTATACGGCGTTAATGTGCCGAGGAGTTATCCTCGTTGCACTTCGACCAGCAGACTAGCGTTCATCTACTTGACTAACGATACAATTGCAAATTATAAATATCCTTGCAATTTCATAGAAATCGCTTAGACACCGAGTGCTGCATTATACAAAGTTACCGACATAATTGTAACTCAAGGAATCTTGCGGAGATCTCGATAATGGATTTTCAATTAGATGTTTGTTCGCATTTTAGACGTTGATAAATGTACATTTCGGTACAACATGCTTATCTTGGTTAAAGGTTACTGCAAGCTAGGAATAATGAGAAAATAAGGAAATCTGAAAATTTGCAAATTTCAGAATCTGAAATTTAGAAATCTGGGGTTGTGAGTTTAGGAAGGTTGAGACTTTAGAATTTGGTATATTTTGAGAAATTATTAGGAGTTTGTAAGTTTGGAAATTTGTAATTTTAAGGAATAGGGAGATCAGAAAATTTGCAAACTTCAGAATCTGAAATTTAGAAATCTGGGGTTAAGAGTTTGGGAAGGTTGAGACTTTAGAATTTGGTATATTTTCAGAAATTGTTAGGAGTTTGTAAGTTTGGAAATTTGTAATTTTAAGGAATAGGGAGATCAGAAAATTTGCAAACTTCAGAATCTGAAATTTAGAAATCTGGGGTTAAGAGTTTGGGAAGGTTGAGACTTTAGAATTTGGTATATTTTCAGAAATTGTTAGGAGTTTGTAAGTTTGGAAATTTGTAATTTTAAGGAATAGGGAGATCAGAAAATTTGCAAATTTCAGAATCTGAAATTTAGAAATCTGGGGTTGTGAGTTTGGGAAGGTTAAGACTTTAGAATTTGGTATATTTTCAGAAATTATTAGGAGTTTGTAAGTTTGGAATTTAGAGGAATTAAAAGTGAAAAGTTGAATTTGGAAATATAGATTTGGGTATTTAGAAAAAATTTCAAATGTAAGAAAGCTACAATTGCACCCAAGTGTACATGAACCTAAGAAACGCACACTAAACACGCAACAGTAATTTTACGGCGAATCGTTAACAAAAGAGATCCATATCGTCACTGTTAGAAATAAGAGATACATGCGATAGAGGTATTTTCTCTAGTTACGGAAATGCTTGTTTTAGAATGGTGTTTCGAAGGCAGTCGATGTTCTTAATACAATTTGAACGGTTTAGCAAATGCGATGGACGGAACAACGCTTGGAAATAATCGAAGGGACAATCGAAGACGAGTGCGTAGGAAGAATAATAATCTCGTGTACACGGTTGTCGGTCGAATCGAAATAGTCCTACGGTCGATCGAATAGAAAATTGTTAAAACGCTCGTAACATCGCCAGGTATTCAACGCTTGCGATCGTTTGAGTAAAACGCAATAATCATATGCAGACAGCGAACGTACGAACACTTATAATCCTAAGATGGCATGTGCTTGATCGCCGAGCCTTACACATGACTTTTGTTGTTATCAGTTACAAGAAAGGTATCATTAATCTCTGTTTCTTTCAATTTTCTTTTTCTTCCTTTCTTCTCGAATAATCACTAACATTATTCCCTTTATTTCTAACAGTTCTGTGTATCGTATATGTACAGCAGTACCACACATCTTTTCAACTGCGGTACACGCGTTTCTTTTTTTTCTTTTCTTTAAAGACGACACTTAGAGTTTAAAAATATAATCATCATATATTTAAAGTAATATTATATTATCATTGTTGTTGTTATTATTATTAATTGTAATAGTATTATTAATATTATTATTGTTGTTGTTGTTGTTATTATCTTGGAGGGATAGCACTTTGCTATGTCACGACACTGCAGAGCTGAACAAAGACTAAACGCGGAAGTTACCACGCTCTTCAATGGCACGAAGAATATAGAAGAAGACCGAGATTACTCTTGTCTATCGATCGATCAATCATTGCTTACAATTCTACAATTGTATCTTCAAATTCAAACTTTCTTATTTCCTTTTTTTCTCTTGACCGATCATAAGACAGATCGTCTCGTCTATCGTTAAACGTAGTACAATTATCGTCGTAGTTTTTTTTATCATTAATTAGGAAGGGGCTAAGAACGGACCTTCTTCTTTAGTGTCGTTTTACAAGATTCCCTAACACTATACAATTCTCGTATGGACGATTTCAATTAGCGCTATAGAAATATTAATTAAGTATTCTCGTTACAGAAATATTATCTGTCTCTGTTAGAATTGTTCAGGAATCGCTAGGTATGCGAGGATGATCGTAACCAATAATAATTGGTCGAACATCGATCTTCGTTTATTATTGAACACTATTCAGTTGTTCGCTTTGATACTATTTACTTCAGTTTACTGTAACCGTTTAGGTGTGGAATTTTTAAAAATAACCAGAGGTTATAGCTGTGAGATCATTCATTTTAATCAAATCTTTACCTATGAATTTAAAGAAAAAAATTAGTAGGTACATTATTTTTGCAGATATTTAACATTTAACTTTTTTTATAGATATACCTCTAATATTTGTCAATATTATAATAGTTATGGTAGAGAAGATGGTAGCTGATTTGTTCTCTGAATTTCCCAATTTCGAATACATTGACATTTTTGTTAATACCTTTAAGAAATAAAGTACATCTAGACATAAAAAAATTAATGTTAAGTATTTCTGCAAGTAATGTGTATCAAAAAGAACATGGATACATGTCTATGAGTCTACTTATTTTTGCTCTACTTTCATCAGACAGAGTTTGACTAAAATCAACGTCACAGCTGTGACCTCTTCTTGTAAATAACAGATACTATTAAACTTTCTTTAAAGAAATACAAACTGGACGTAGTTTCTGGATAAAAGGCTATATATTTGACAAAACAGACGTTTTAACTACAACGACACGCATTAAAAAAGATTCAAACCATACAAAGCGTGTATTGTTTTGTTTTCTGTTTTATTTTCTTCACATGATTTTGGAGTTATTATTACTATTAAATATTGAAACACTGATGTTGCTTTAAAGCCACACAGAAACGTATCCCAAAATGAAATTGTTGATATAAAAATATACAAACAGTAACGCTGACTTATCATTGCCTTAGCTATAACTTTCTAACCGCATTGTTAAACGAGTAAAATCTTCCCTCACAATTTATGTATATCGTAGAAAAAATGTACACGTTACCGTACTGTTCTTGGTACATGAACATTCGAGTCTTCCATTGTCGCAAAAATAATTTGCTTCTAAAAATTAGTTATCAGCACTAGTACTACGCTCTGATAAACTAAATGACAACATGTAATAAGTGTGGAACATTGGTTTACGATTCAAGCGATACAAATGACTTTTTATTAAAGAAAAGAAGAAATAATATTTTCTTGAAATATGCTATTACTAATAGCACCTTTGTTTGTTATTTTAACCTTTTTGCTACGACAGACGACCGCAGTTGCTCCCCAAAAAACACTATTAATTTAAAAGGAACAGAATCTTTATTTTTAACAACCTCATACACTTTACTATTATTAAAACATTATTACTAATATTATTTCATTCTTATATTTACTATTATATACTATGATGTATTTGAGAATTTGACATTGATTCATTTAATATGAATGTTAAATCTCAATTTAAGTTGCTATAGCAAAAATGTTTGAAGTTATTCCACCAATTTTTAAGAATTTAATGATACAATGTTTATGAAGGACAAGTTAACAAATTTAATGAAGAATTTAAGCTCTCAGAGGGCTGTGTCAAAGACGTTAATAACGTGGAGCACCGTCGCAGCAAAAGGGTTAAACTATACACGACGAATTAAACAATTGTCAAGGAAAAAACTTCAACTGTAAGAAACAAAGAAAGAAATTACCTCAACGTAACTTGAGTCCTCTTTTAAACGAACGCAACTGATGAATGATAACAATTTGAAAATGAAACTTCATATTCCATCGGAAGTGTGGAATTTTTCATTACGGTTCTAAGTTGCTCCTGTTCAAAACAGGGAAGCCGTTTCGATCAAACAAAAACGAAGCTTATCGTTCGAGCCGGATTCCCAGTTTTGCGCAAACCGATTGCAACTTTCATGGATCAGGATTAAAAATCGAGCAACGACCGTGAAGATGTTTCGTCGAGAATCGACGACAGATCGTGATCGTCTGATCCGATAAGAGAGCGTGATAACCTCGGCCAATAATAATACCCTTGATTTCTCGCGAGAATAATTACGTATCTGACAGTTAAAGCGAAATCTATTCTCGAATACCTTAATACTGTAATGAGCAACTGGATTTGAAGGTACCGTAAAGAAGTTGACATAATCGGTGATCGACAGAGGTCAGTGAAGATCATCTTCGTCGCTATCGTTACCGTCTTTCAATCTATCGGCACCTCCCTCACCGTCGCTGGAGCCAGAATCACTGCCAGATTCTTCGGATTGCCAGCCGCCCGTCTGTTGTTGCTGCACTTGTTGTTGTTGCACTACGTGTTTTGATACTTTGTGACGTTTGCCTCCACCTGCTCGTTGCACCGGATCTGCCCCAGCACCGTCCAGCATCGGCTGGAGAATCCGTCGACGGGCATTGATGAACCAGTTATTCACTTGCAGCAACGTTAGGTTCGTCTGACTTGCGATCTGACGCTTCTCGTCCTCCGTAGGGTAGGGATGCTACAAAATATTATACAACAATATGATAGAAATTTGTTATAATATTACAATATGAACTAGTTTTATATTGTACAAGTTTGTCATTCAAGATATTACTATCATAATAACAAAGTGGAGTCTTATCTTAACTGAAGATATATTAGAAAAAGATAAATTGCTTAAGACTCCACGAACAACAATGATTAGTTACGTCCTTAATAACCAATAAATCCACGATACTTACAACTAAGTGTTCAAAGAGCCAAGTTCGCATAATGCTCGTAGCTTGTTTAGGTAAGACGCCTCGTTTTTGTCTTCCTTTCTTGGTGCTGCTATGACTACCTCCGTGGCCACTACTGTGATTTGAAGTAGCAGTACCAGTGCCACATCCTTCGTCTTCGTCCTCGCTTGGCGCAGGCGAAGGGGAGCCAGCCACAGTGATATCTACACATAAACAGAACGTACTTATTATAACATACTTATACATGCTGTACACGTCATTTTAAATTTTGTTAATTAACTTATATATAGAGTACTAAGGATATCATTAAAATAATCATTGCTAAAGAAAGGAATCAACTTCATCTAACCAAAATACTTTTCATCGTTTGCATCTCCCACATCGACGTATTCACTTTCACGTTCTTGTAACGCAAGAAGGCCCCAATAGCCAGCCTCTTCTAAATATATTCTGTCGCCAATATTCACACAGTCCATATCATCTATAAACGCAAGTTGACAATGCCTACATTCAGCTTAATTGTCAGTCACATATACTGATAGTGTCAGCACTTTTATTTGATTTCATACAATGAGAAGAGAAAAATAAACGATGAACTTCTCTCTGTTCATGACTACTCGACTGTGTCGTATGCGGGTAAAGGTCAATTTATAATAAATGTCGTTACCGCAATGTGAACGTACTTAGCTAGTTCCTCACAGTGTCCATTCTCTGCATGCAGGTTGTTGTCAGTATTCAACGAGCACATTGACCACTCTTTTCCCAAGGAATGGACACAGAGAGAACGTAACTGCGTTCACGTTATGGTCACATCAATGTTGGGTATAAATTGATCTTAAGATCTAGGTTACATTGGTAGTTAGATTCAGTTCTCTAATTCAGTGATAAACAACTTTATGAATTTTAAAAATAGTGTAATCATTTGTGCAAACATTGTGTAATCATTTACATAGGTGGTTGATAGAATAAGGTAGAATTCCATTGTAGAATAGCAACTCCACTGGAGTAGTTAGCTACTCCACCACTTACTCTAGACCTCTAACAATGTAACCTAACCATATCCAAACCCTGAAAGTTCTGAGTTATAGCGCTATTTACTGAACGCTTCAGATGCAAGTAATTTACAAACCATGTTTGCAAGCTAAACATCTCAGCCACTTGCAAGCACCAGCACAAATTTAGCATAGTCATGAATATGGCATGTCAGTAACCCATAAAATTTTCTAATGCTCAATGACCAATTATTTCGCTACTTTTTACAATATTTTCATCGTTGTTTTTCGCGCTATTCTAAAAACTTTCAAAGTAACTCATCGCGTATCTCAGTTTATTCGTGGAAATCTAGATGATATGCAGATGATTTCACCTTGACCAAGATACATATCGTTGACAGGTGCACAAGAATGAGCCCCGATTTGCGAGAGGGGCGTGCTCCCGTGTATCGTGGAAGGCGACAGAGGATCGTCATGGTCCTGGCTGGAGGATCTGTTCGAACGTTGAGCTGTGGAAGATGATCGCGCCGATGACGGCCTGTCGTTACCGGTTTCTTCTTGCGTAGCCATCTGACTCGCAGCACCGTTCTCCGACAGGGTGTCGCCTCTGCTCACTCTGAATCCGTTAGCTCCCGACTCAACATCATTGCCTGTAGAAGACAGCACCTGGGAAATATATGTCGCAACTAGCCGTCAGAGAGCAGGGGTGGGGTTCTATAATATTTTGAGCGACGCGCAAGTATCGCTCGTTCTTTTTAATTATTTCAAGCATTACTCTTTTCATACTACAAATAATAACCAAACGGGGGTCTTTAATTTTACCTTGAAGCTCACTCAAAGTTACAATCACTCAGTTTGATTGTTAATATCTTAAGAAGTACATTTTCTATACAATTACCGATATCTTTCAAACTATCGTTTACGATTATACGTGGTAATAGCACGATGTACGAACATGCAAATACCTCATTAAAACGAAGATATAATCTAGAAATCTTAAAATAAGACTCGGGGTGGTTAGTAATTGGAAGGTGCAATTTCTACTGCGTTTTAATAGAAAACAGCTAATAATTAATGTAGATAATTTTTCTAAAATGTTAATAGAGAAATACGGGTTAAGAAGTTAGATTAAGAATCTGGCGATTCTTGCGCATCGCTAAAAAAATAGGATATCTACGTAGGGTAAGGGGGAAGAGGCAAGGGTGCCTTGAACGTTACAAAAAATATCTAACCTGCAAGGGACTGCTGCCGTTGCTGCCACTCGATGGACCCATATCGTGTCCATGGTGGCTGTAATCGCTTCGTAGCAGATTTTCGCTCTGCATCTTGCCCTTCAGGCACGTGATGTACCTGTTGCAAAAGTCCTTGCACAGCTCCTGCACCTTTTCCAATTCGAGTAGGTGAATCCGCAGCACCTGTATCGCCTTGATCATCTACGTTGGCAAGAGAAACAAAATAATATCGATCGATTTTCTTTTCGTATTGTACAGCGTACAGGATAGTTGAAGAACGGGGTTCCGAAATTGCGTGCATGGTCAGATAATGTATTTATATATTTCGTAAGTAGACTCGGAACTTTGTTATAGAGTTTTAGATACTTAGACAGTTAGTAAATTAATTGTTTCGAAAGTTTTATGAATTTGGAAATTTTCAAAAGAAAAGATTTTCTTTTCTAATTTTCTAAATTAGAAAATGTAGGTGTTTGACAGTTTCAGAATATGAAAAAGAATTTAGACAAACATCTCAAAAAGCTTATCACTAAAATTCCTTTATAGTTTCCTAATTATCTTGCTAGTTTCCTAATTGTTTCTAAACAATTCTTAAGAAAATTTGATATCTGTCGGTGTCACTCTGTGTAACAAATGCGAACTTGAAAGGAGTATAACTCACCAAACCGTCAATTTCGGGGTCATTGATCAAGAAGGGCTTTCGGTCTCTTTCTTGGTGTTGGACGAAGGCCTGTATGTCCATGTTGAAGCTCTCGGACGTCGAGTTGTCCGAGCTCTGGGTAGCTTGTTCGCATCTTTCGAACAGTAATGCGAGTAAAGGGAAAAGAGGGTGTTTGTATACTGCCCTCTTGTCTGCTTCGAATTGAGCCTGATCCTGATGGGTCGTGTAATCGGCAACCCCACTTGCAGGGTCCTGATCGTAACCAGGAGTCACCATCGCTAGCGCCACGGCGGTGCTACCCTCTTGCATTCTGTAATATTAATACAACATTCTGCTTAATTACCACCCACTTATATATCACATGTACATGTACACATGTGATTTAATTAAAAAATACTTATATAATTGTATTAAATTAAATAGTGAGCCATGTTTCCAATGCAAAGGGTTAAAGTATGCTGGAAAAGCAATATTTGTTATGAATATTTCCTACAAATGGTTAAAATAAAATAAACCCACAAAGAGTTAAAGTATGCTGGACAGAAGCAATATCTGTTATAAATATTTGCTACAAATAGTTAAAAAAAATAAACCTACAAAGGGTTTAAATATGCTGGACAGAAGCAATATTTGTTACAAATTTTTTATGCTATAACACATTTATTATTTTTCCCGAAGTGACCTATCAAGTAGCTGAATATCGGTATTCCAATATTTTACAATCACAAATTGATAGTTATGTGCAAAAGTATGTCGTAGTCAAAGGGTTAAAATAAAAGTAAAAGTAAAGTTAGATATAACTACATTTATACCTATCATTCCTGTCTGACAACTTCCATCGTTGCCCTGGTCCTCCGGGGCCTCTGATATTTAAATATCCTTCAATCTATGTTTCCAACGTTGTAGTTCGCTGCGTAATTATACTGTAACAAAAAAACAAGAAAAATATTTTTCAATCGATCCATAAATATATACTCGGCAATGTAATTTACGCGTCCGATAATGACACTCTTTGCTAGTAAAAAGCGTTCGTTATGGACGGTTTTGTTGTTTCATTAAATGGTGTAACTTGAGGTTATACGTGTCTTTATGTACTCTCTAATAGATTTCGAGTACGAAAGCCTATTCGTTTAACACTAAACCTACGAGCACATAATGTATACTTAATTTGAAATTAAAAAATGAATAAACAATCAACGAAACATAAATTAGTACACACGTTTATTCTTTGTTTTGGTGAAAATTAACGCTGATTTCAACATAACAGTACAGTCAAACTTTGAAACAGTAATACTATAGATTAATGAAATAGTAATATGAAGACATAGAAAAATAGGAGTATAACAGTATAGTACAATGTTGAAGTATAATAAAAATAGTGGAATAAGTACTGTAATAATATAGTGAAATAGAATAGCAACATAATAATATAGAAACGGTAAAATAGTACTGTAATAAGCGAGGCGCATAAAAATAAAAGAACGATCGATTAAAATGTGCAGAAGCGTCAAAGTGTGAAGATAAGAAAAATTAATGATTCATCACGACCTCGTCCATTTTCACGTGCAATACTTGATAAAAATATTCGTTAGATGATATTATGTTTTATTTTGGACAGAAGCGAGATAGAAAATGAGAGAAACACGGAAAAGGACGTACGAAAAGGGAATGGTTGTGGCACGAAGAACCAAACGATGCGCGGCACTGCATTTAAATGTCATCGTTAGACGGTCTCAACACCATCGGCATCGTAGCTGGCACCAGTTCTGCTTCCCATTCCGTACCCACCTTTTGAATTTTCCCCAATCCCCATACACGTCCCCTTGGGTATGAATAAATAAAGTACTGCGACACTTTTTGGTGACAAAGGAGCCACTGAGAAAACCGCAGTTGTCCGTGCTATACCGCTAAAGAGAGAAAAAACAAGCTGAATTTCGAATTAACTCTGATACGATTGCGAATGCAATTATTTATTCATACGATGGACACGTTTTTTACTTGCACTTCTATTTATATACGTAACAAGTCAAATTAATCTAGAGATCGAAAATATAGTGATTAGAAAATTATAGTTACGATCATGAATAAAAATGTATGTGCAAACGAGTATTCATTTATGACGTTTCTATCATCTACCACAAATATTTGCTTGAGGATAGTGAGCGTACCAGACGGAATAAATATTTTGGATCTTTCAGATATTAATGAATGAAATGAATATTTTAGATCTACCTCGAGTGTTAAGTGTGGAGTTCAGACTAGCCCAGACATTATGGTCATATTTTACACCTAACTCGTTCTCGAAGTTCGTATTTCGAATTCAACCGAGATTGTAAATGTACATTTCATAGATAGTATAACAATGCAAGGAAAAGTATAGGAGAAAACTACCTTTATCAAAAGTTTTCTCTTTTTCGATCGAATAGAAGATATCGATATAAAAGAAGGGTAGATATATATTTAAGGGAAAGTCGGTAGGTGACGAGGAAAAGAAGGTGGCGTCTGAACAGCCATAGAAGCTTCAGAGAAAAGGTGAACAGAGGGTACCATTACTTGCAAGTGGTGCTTCTACCATGCTCGCGTCTTTCCGTTAAACCCGATATTTATTGTGCCGGTCGTCCTTCTTTTGCCGCTTTCATTTAAAAATATTATCGCTGACGGTGAACGGTCAGCGTGACTGCATTCGTGCATCAATTCCGCCTTTATTTTTCTCATTGTGTCTATTCTTCATTATACCTTATTCCTTGTGTTACGTTCAGTCCCAAGACAATTTGATTATCACATAAATCGATACAAGAGCATTTGAAGTAAATTAAAATTTACGGTTTAACTTAATAAATCAGAGATGCGTTTAAGGATTCTCTGTTTAAATACAATGTTATATATCGCCGCGTATTGTATCACCACAAGTAATAACGCCGCGTACTGTATCACTACTTGCAATATCGCCACACGTTATATTGCCACGAGCTATATTGCCACTTGTTATATTGCCACGAGCTATATTGCCACTTGTTATATCGCCACGCGGTTTAATGCCACTCGTTATATTACTACTTGCAATATCGCCACGCGGTATATTGCCACTTGTTATATTGCCACGCGGTATATTGCCACTTGCAATATCGTCACACGTTATATTGCCACTTGTTATATCGCCACGCGATTTATTGCCACTCGTTACATTACTACTTGCAATATCGCCACGCTGTATATTGCCACTCGTTATATTACTACTTGCAATATCGCCACGCGGTATATTGCCACTCTTTATATCGCCACGCGGTTAATTGCCACTCGTTATATCGCCACGCGCTTCATTGCCACTCGTTATATTACCACGCGGTTAATTGCCACTCGTTATATCGCCACGCGTTTCATTGCCACTCGTTCTATTACCACGCGGATTATTGCCACTCGTTATATTGCTACTTGCAATACCGCCACGCGGTATATTGCCGCTTATTCATTGGCACTTGTTATATTACCATGCGGTTTATTGCCACTCGTTATATTACTACTCGTTATATTACCACGCGGTATATTGCCACTCGTTATATCGCCACGCGATTCATTGGCACTTGTTATATTACCATGCGGTTTATTGCCACTCGTTATATTACTACTTGCAATATCGCCATGCGGTATATTGCCACTCGTTATATTACCACGCGGTTTATTGCCACTCGTTACATTACGACTTGCAATACTACCACTCGCTATATTACTACTTGCAATACCGCCACGCGGTATATTGCAAGTCGTTACATCGTCACGCGTTACACAGCCACTCGCTATATCGCCACGCGTTATATTATGTACGTATTAACCGCAGAACCAAATTGTTAGTAATATTGAAGCAATATAACTAGTACGATGATACGATGCTTGAGAGTTTTAGTAAATTAATCGTACCTGACCCACCCAGATAAGAATTCTAGTTGCGTCAATAATCATAATAATTTCTTTTCTTCTTTTGATATCATTATTTGTTCTCAAGTTAGTTAAGTGTTACATATCGTTTCTTATTCGGTATCAACAACCTTGTGCTTATCCGACCGTAAATATTATCGCTGATCAATAGTCAAGCATCGAAGATACGACTGCTATTTTTACTGATCGTTTAACAATTCTCACGGGCGTAATTAACACCGAAGGCTGTTTTACTTCCTCCTTTTTATCTTCTTTCTCAATGAACGATTGCCCCCGATGCAAAATCAATCACTTGAACGCTATACATTATAACGTGGCTCTTATATCGATCAGAAGTTGTTTGTTGAAGGTATTTTTAGACTAATAAGGAAGCATATTTGAAAAATTAAATATTCTCGGATCAGTACTTTTTTCTTGGCAATTACCATATCTACTATAACTGTTCATACAAAGAAAATTGAAAACAACTTTTAAATGCACGTTATGTTTGAAGATTAATTCGATAATCGTTTACATCGATCGATGTTTTATGACTTCGGTAGAATTAACTATTTTCAGAAATAGAAACGAAACGGACATTATTATCAAGAGATAACATTAATAAAATATGAGGAGAGCAATGTTAATTAATAGGCGTTAATGTAATACGGTAATGATCAGACAAATACAGGAAAAACGAGAAAGATGGCACAGTTTAAAATATCCGTAGTAAATAAAACAGTTATTGAGTGAATTAAGTGAAATGAAACTCATAAGTATAAACTATACATGCTGTATCATACGATTTATCGCATCACGGGTCTAATGAGCGTTGGTTTTTTTGTAACGCGGTAATGTATAATGACCATGACAGTGGAACTACAGGCACGTGTAATTACAAACAGAGTGTAACTGGTAATAACGTAAGTCAGATAAATACTCGTAACATGCTAACTAGTTAGGACAACATACCAATCTATTTCACAACTTTTCGTATCTTAAATTATATTTCAAATTAACGGTATGTTTAGTTTTATGAGTCTATATTATTATTCCAATTAGCATTTTATTATTTCGATGTTTTTATAGTCAGTGTTTTTTTTTTCACATTTTTCTCTGCTTCATCCTCACAAGATTTACTATAGATGCTAAAAATACTGGAAAGTCGACGGTGGGTACTTACAATTTGGAGACTTCTAAGATTTTATTTCGCAAAAATATTTGATTAGTTGCGTCTCGATTAGCGCAATTAAATTCCACGTGATTCAACTCCTAGTTTGACATAACTTGTCACAAAATCGACACAATTCGATTTGACCTGATACAATTTTAATCGAATTAATTCAACGCCATTCAATTCCACGAGATTTAATTCGATTATACATAATTTGATATGACTCGATGTAATCATGTATAATTTTACACGATTCAATTCCTCATAAATCAATTCTGAACTATTCCATTCAATGTCATCCTATTCGATTATTCATGAAAAAATTCAAATTTGAAACAATTCGTTATGATCCAATCTTTTCCCAAACTATAAAAGTTAAAATTATTTCCACTACAATAACACGAAATTATAAATTCATAGTACCATTAATCACTTATTAACTTAATCGATCTTAACCCTTTGCGCTCGAAGGTAATTTGACTGTTTGCAAACAGCAACTTTTAAACTTAAGTTAAAAAGTTAAATGAATTCTTTTGAGGTTACTATTTCTCTACTAATAATTTCCACTATTGTTTGTTTCACTATGTTTATACATCACACGTGTCATATTATAGAATCTGTTAAAAAATGCCTATTTCTAATTATTGTACCAAATAAAATGGTGACTGAGTCACCTCTCGAGCGCAAAGGGTCAAAATTGTAAAACTTGAGGGAAAAGACGTTCAAAGTATGTGCAAATATATATTTTCACACTCGTATGAGCAAGTAATGACAGAGAAGCAATGAAATAACTTTATGAGCCTGAATGAGAGAAACAAATCTTGCACCCTTTAAGTGGCAGACCAGTAGTAGATGGTTAGGTAGTCGGTGATCATTTTCGAGCGCAAGAAAGTACTTAAATTTCAGTAAATACATACCATGGTCAAATATTTGACATTGTACCTGCTTATTTTACACTCATTCAATTTCAACGTCTCAGTTTCCACCTGTCTCCCCGTCTACTCACTCCTTTCTAATACCGTTTGAATTACAAACTTGAATTATGAAAATAAAAATCGTTTCAAGCTCGTATTACTTTTGCCAAGATTTATCTATATAAAAATTAAGCTTCTTCGAACATTACAATTATTTTGTGATCTCTTTCAAAATATTTGAAACCGTATTATTCTGAAAGGTCACACAAGTTTTGCAATGTTATTCAAATATTTCGTATTATACTCCGTTATTTACATACGAATGTTAAAAACGTTCGAAGTATTAACCCTTCGATGCACTGTAATGCAAATATACTGCATAAAGTAAATGAATAATTCATTTCATTATTAACGAAATTCTGGGAAACATTTCTCGTCTTTTGTAATTACAATGTTCTACATAATGTTGCTTTATAACCATTTTTTTAACTTCGACGACAGTTTTGAACTTTCATCAACGAGAAATATATTTTCGCGCACCAAAAGTTCAATAAATTAGAAAGAACTAAATTCCCTCTTTTTATAATCATCTTCAAAAATTTTACTATCGAAATCGAAAGTCATGCATCAAGGAACAAAATTTCCAAAATAATAATTTGTTTACTATTATCGCCGAATTTTTATTGGTAATTCAAAAACGTATTTCATCGATGAGAACCGAAAAGGTGCGACAAAACGATAGTTCGGATATGTATCGGTATTTTGTTTTTAATTAAAAGAATCATGCAACGCAGGCTTAATTTAAACGTTTCGCGAGGAGAACAAAAAAAGAACAGGACTGAACGTGAGACGCATACCGGTCTGACACCGAAAGAGTTAATTATGACAAAGATGGTATCCCACGGGTTCGCAGACTTGTTTACTACCTGTCAGTCATCGGCGTATTAAACCCGGCGTCGTGACGTGCAACAATCCTGCGGTCGAAAGAAGTGTTGGCGAAGTTAAAGAACAGTGAGGAATCGTGGTCGGTAGGCGATAACACGGGAGCAGATGTTTTTCTTTCTCCCTTTCATCACGGGGCTAACACCAGATAGTCGAACTGTCAGTCAAACGTTCGATAACCAATGGTCGACAATCCCTACTACTACAGCACGCCGGGGAAGAATCATTTTCATCCGAAGAGGGCGTAGCAAAAACTACAAGAGGCGACCGCTGCCGACGGCGCCGATGCCTCACTGCTGCGCAACGCTCTAACCTATAGGGTGCTCGATAAAATTTCGTGCGGGAAATTCGACTTCGTTTCCTCCTTTCTTTCCATTCATCTGACACTTTAACTACAAATATTATTCATCGAAACTTCTGACAAGTCTTCTAAAAGCATAAGAGATAAATTTTACTTGACGCACGAAAAATTATTGATAGTTGCAATCTAATATTCAGAGAGAGATTTAAAATTACGAGTTTTAACTTTACGGATCCACCCGCTCAAAAGTTATGGATATGTGAGGTTAAATATGATCTAACGTTTGAGCAAACATATTAAAATGTTTGCATAACTAAAGCGAAACGTGTGCTATTATATCCAAATCCCAGGGCTGAAATTGTGTTAGATCAATGTTTGGTAACGTTAGCATTACATTAGGTTAAATCCGTGTAAGATTTGGTTAGGTTGAAGTAAGATTAGGTTAGGTTATAGTAACTGGAGATTTGATTAGTTCGGAGTTAAGTTTGTCTAGCGTGAAGTTGAGTCGAAGTTGAATTAAATCAGAGTTATGTTAATTAGAAGATAAATTATATTCGTCTGCAATGAGCGTTTCAACTGGACTTAACATTATCGATAATGATAACGAAAATTTAAAATATATTTTTTGTACTCTTGATCGATCATTAATGCTAATAGGAATAAGAATGCCGCGTGTGATTTTAAATAATCTAACTTAACCTAATCTGATAATTTTGTCATTTGTTTCAAATTAGCTTAAAAACAAATAGATTTGAATAATAAGCTAACAGGTTAAGTTGGCTCGAAGTTCAAAAAGAAAGATAAATAAATTTGAACAGCGTTACACTCTGTTCCAATCATCTTCATTAACTTTAATAGTATCTGAACGATAATATCGATATATCGTTAAGAACCAATTACATATCGATAACTTACGAACAACAGCACTTCTAATGCATATATTTTATTTTAGAATAATTAGAATATTGTTTTATTATATTGAATGCCTTTTCTATTAATTTTGGTTTTTTGTAAAAATTTTGTTGCATATAATATAATTCTGGAAAATACTACATTTAATTATGCGATTGGGTAGATGCTGTCATTGAAGCATCTTTGTCACTCTCTTTTTTTCACAACAAATTCTCTGAACGATTTCAACCGGTTTGATATGATGTAAACACCGATTTGCTCGTTGTACTAGGGATACTTTTAGTTGCGAAGCAACGTTTGTCGTTTTATGCAATTCGCTTAGCACAAATTGTTCTAGATAGAAATACAGATAGCTATATAAGGAATCATGTTTACTAGTACAAAGTAATTCATAATGCTACTGATCGAACTTTACTTTCATACTCATTTATACAATCTAATGCCGATTGAATGTAGAATACCTCTCTTTGTAATAAGATCATATAATTCATTTTAATAATAAAGATTCACGAAGCTTAGATTGATTACTTGAATAGAAAGTGTTATAACTTCAACGTAACATTAATTTCCGATTCAAAATTCCCGCCAGTTTCTGTACGATAAAAGATACCGACAGCGAAAGTATAAAGAAATAAATAAATAGTCGCACAATTATGTATTTACGCAATAATTAAGTTTTTCTTATATAAGATCGATAGTGTTACTGAAAATTAATTTAGAAAGCTATAATATATAACGTTTTAATCTGTAAAAAAGAAAAATGAATCAATTGCCTGAGTACGATAGGGGTTCAATGTTCATAGAAGATTATTTCACGAAATTAATCAAAAGTCGATTCATTAATTTCGTTAAACAGCACGAACGTGTTATTGTACCGAAATAATGAAAGAATCAAAAAAGAAACAAAATCCCCTTTAACGTACAGCAGGATAAATAAACGTGAACGTAAAAACAGTGACAGGAAACACTGGTCATGCAGTAGTTATGATGTCATTTTGAAAAAAACGGTTGTTCTTTTCAGCAAGATTAGTAAGGCCCTTGAAAATATCGATCGTATCAATCCGCAATTCTGTCAAGGCAGACCGCGAGAAATGGGCGTTCACTGGGGGCATTGCGCACAAAACAAGTTTTTCGTGTGTATCGGCGCACCAGGAACGAATAAACGAAACCTAACCTCACAAATTCACAGGTGCATGGCCCTAGTGGGAATTAGGTTGAACAAACGATGCCCCGAAACAGCTGTCTACGCGACACTATTCCACGGAATATCAATTCTTCGTTTACTCACCGTATCGCGAAGCCAGTCTAGACAAATCCCACAGGAACAAAACAACCCCGTGCAGTTTTATTTTTCTCCGAGATATTTTGGTCGGCGTGTCTGATTAGTCGGAAACTGAATGTCGTTTTCGCCCACGTGATAAACGGAAACCCGACGATAATCACGTACCGACACCGGTATTCGACGCACTCGCCAGTCAACACAAACCGTTCTGTTTACCACTGTCCATCCAACTATGATAAATTAAAGTAATCGGACATTTTTCAACATGCTCCTCCACGGTCCTGTCTACTCCTTCCACTGACACGTCTTTTGTGACGTCATCGATTCAATACTTTTCGCGAAGGTTTCTCTTCTCTGTCGATGCACCTCATCCCCTGCAGATGGCAGCACGGTCGCCATTACACACAGCGTTCGAGCGTCGATCAAATTTACGCGCGAATTTCAAACACGCGCGCGTCAGTAACAACAAAATGTTACGTAATTATCTTTACATTCCTAAACATATATATCTAAGTTCTTCGCGATGCAAAGAATAAATACGACATTATTAATAGTCTTACCGTAATTAATATATAATATATATGTTTATTTTGTTATTATCCAATTTACTTTTTGATTCGATATTTTTTTAGAAGTACAAATAAATAAATTATAATAAGTTATAAATAAATCATAACAGGTTATTTGTAATTACTGTATACGATTGTAACACGAGTTACTGATAATAAAAATATTGAAACTGGGACTTTATAATTTTCGAAATACGAAACTTCGAAACTGGGGCAATGGAACCTTGAAATGAAGCGAAATGAGTTTGTTAGAAACTCAACGAACAGGAAATTAATGAAGAAATTAAAAGGGATCCCACCTGATGATTACGGCGGTGAGTAACGGTGATCAGCAGTATCTTATCATTGTTTCCTTATCACGAATGCTCGTAGCTTGATACAGAATTGCCTATTTCAGTTTTCAGTCGCGAGTCTAACATTGTCGATCTTGCGTCAAATCATGAATACGCGAACACTGTTTATTTTTATTTTCGTCGTTTCGGCAGTTCGCTGTCAAAATGAAGAGGCTGAGGTCAGTGATCCTGTGCTGCTGACTTCTGAAGTTGGCAAACCCGTGACTGCAGGAACAATCGAGATCAGTGATCCTGTGCAACCGATTTCTGAAGTAACAATCGCGCCGAAACTTCCAAGTTTATGTGCTATATGCAACTGTACAGGTAGTTTATACGTTTCGAAATAATAAGAAAAATATCAATGAGGAGTCTAAAGGAGTATAAAATAATAACTAATATTCTCCCACTAGGTGACACCATGGATTGCAGTAACAGAAATTTGACGGATCAGTGGGCAGACGCTCAGTGGCCAAATGTATCTATTAACGTGGTAACGTTCGAAGGGAACTCGTTAGTTAATTTGACATCGTTTCCAAAAGCGGTGATTCACAAATTAATTTTGAAAAATAGCAACATCACGAAAATCAGCAACTCAGCGTTCAAACAGTTGATCAACCTCACTGAATTAGATTTGAGCGGCAATCATATTACAAGGGAAAATTTGCAACCAAGCGTGTTCGAGGTAAGGTCGAAAATATTTGAACGGAATCAAATTTATTGTTTCATGTCGATCGTATGTACTTTAATCTGTATAATCTTATATTAGTCACAATCGTTATCTCGAAACTAGAATTTTCACAGAAATCTAAGTACTTGATGCTCTAGTCATCGCTTAAGTACTAATCTTCTGAGTAATGTATGAAAAAAGTAAGAAGGTACCTCCTTGAGAATTGTAGAAAAACATGACAGATAAATCTCTGATGAACGAAGAATGCAAACTTTTATATTTATAAAGTTGGTATTGAGTCATCTGGAAGTTTTTAAACTTGACTATTCGATAATTATTAACTTTGTGAAATTTCGAAATAAAAACGTAGAAATTTAGTAAGCTTGAAACATTAGAAAGTTGGAAAGTCGAGAATTTATAAATGTAGAAAATAAGTGTTCTTAAAATTAAGGAACTTAGAAAGTCAGAAATTCGCGAGTTCAAAAATTTAAGAACGTGGAAAATTGAGACATTAAAAACCTGAAAATAATGAAAGTCAGAAATATCAATTTAAAATATAAATGTAATAATGTTAAACTTCAAAATTACGCTCAACTTACTGAACGAAATATATAAATATTTCAGGGTAGATTTTCAGTGGATGATTACGAACCATTAGCAAAATTAACGGTGTTAAATTTAGCTTCAAATGAGCTTCATTCTTTGCATCAAGACATCTTCGAGCACACGCCGGCCCTTAAAATACTAAATCTTTCGAAGAACTTGTTTTCTAAAATTGACCACCCCACTTCTATTGCGCTTAGTTCGCTTCCACAATTGGAGGAATTGGATTTAAGCTATTGTAGTTTGACAATGCTACCGGAGTCGCTATTTTACACTTCCAGGTAAGATTTTAACTTTCGAAGCACGTTCGTCGTGGTATTTACCTTCTCAATATAGATTTTTAACCCATAGTACACATTTTTTGTTATTTTTTATTCATAAACATTTCTGTAGAATCTGTATTTAAAAATTAACACTAGAATCAACAATATTTATTTTGGCACTGCAATTATTGGTAAATTCGAGTTCAATAATCATTTATAAGAATAAATATTTATTTGTAAAGAATATATACGATGAACTCATAAATTCAATCAGTAAAATTAATAAGAAATAGTAGATTTTTGTTGACCTATATACTTTGTACACGATACGAAATTTTTTTAGTATTAATAATCAGCTCTTTGGATACCGATTAATAGCAACTGTTAAAATGTACATTAACAGAAACATTAACGATAAATCTAAATAAATAGATAAGAAGATACAGATATCGTTATCTTAATTTTCTATGGAGGAAAAGCTTACATGTCGGTACACAGAATAAATAAGGAAAATACGATTAATCGTTACATTAACTGACTTTTATTATCCAGGACTATTAAGAGGCTAAATTTGAGTGGCAATCGATTTATGGTTCCCCCGCCTGCTCTCGAGGAGGCAACGACGCTGGAGTACCTTTATATGGACGAAAATCCGTTGCAAATTCTTAATCAGCATCAACCGTTTCCCACTCTGCCCAAATTGAAAGAGTTGAGCCTTTGCTGTATGCCTTATTTGACCGTAATCGGCAAGGGTGCTTTCTCGGGCCTGAAAGTGCTCGAACATCTCCGAATTCAAAATTGCCCAAACCTGGAATCTATTGATGAATATGCTCTTTCGAACGAGGTAATTATTACTTTATGATTCTTCTATGCAATTAAATTACGGGTGTTTATACATTTATAAAGCAAAGATGATAGTTATTTCAAATAATTTTATGACCCACGTTTCGAATGGAACGAAGACATAATCATAGAAGAGATAGAATCATAGCTACAACTTTAGTATTAATAATATTTCTGATTACTGATGTAATTACTGAACTTATATCAACTGCTCCGAACAGAGATTACTATTATTTAAATTCAGCGAACAACGAATACTGTTTGTTTCTTCACAAATTTTGTTTGTTTCTTTGATATTTCCCCTGTGGTTCAACAGCGTTGAAATATGCAAAACGGGCGTTTATTCAGATTGCATTGTTAGGACCTTGAAATGCGTGGAAATAACGCGAAGGTATAAATTATCGGGTCTCAATAAGAGGAGAGGAACGTAAAAGATAATATTGTGCTTGAAAATGATTGCAGACGGAGTCTGGGGGATCAGTGTGGCCGCCACTGAAGAAACTAGATTTATCGGATAACGCTCTACGATATTTGCCTGCGCACTTCGTAGCAAGGTGGGACTGGCTCGAAGAATTGGATCTGATGAACAACAAATGGAGCTGCGATTGCAATAATCAATATCTGGTAAGTTCTGGCAATCACGAGATACACACTACGTTCACTCGAATCGGCCGTTCGTATCGAACCGATATCGATTTTAGCTACCAATAACGCCAATTTGCCAATTCTACCGTTCGATTGTTCGCAACCTTTAAACTCGTTTTATTGTTGAATGTTTGGTGAAAATGTCAGTTGAAGTAACGATTGTTGCAACCGGTTAATGGATGGGATTTTTAAAATATTTATATTTTGTTGTGCACCGTTGCTGCCGTAATGGTTTAGGTTCAATAGTTTGATATTTCAAATGAAATTGGTTTCACGTGGAATTTCTATATTTACAATATTTGGAAAAATGTTTTTATTGACGTTGTGGTTTTTTTATTAGTGTTAATAAAAACGTCATGAATTAGTTAATAAAACATCAAATGTGGACTGGGGATGTACTACTTCATCGAATGGGGGATGTAGGAAAAGCGTTTCATTAGGTTCACAAATTTGGACTTTGTACTTCTGGACATGAATTTTACTTTCACACTTTCATTGTATAATTTGTACTTAAAAATTAATTCTATTACGTTATGACACCTCAAAAAAGATAATAATAATTATTACAAATGATATGATAGCCCTAAATACCTTTCGTACAAAGTTCAACTATGTTTTGTGTAACGAAACCAAGTGTCCGGATACTTATGGACGGTAGTGTACTTCATGTTAGAAATTTTTGAATTTTTTCCGAATCCCTACATCAACAAATATCCCCGAATGTCTGTATCCTCAAATGCTTGTATCCCTGAATCTTTACATCCACCAATGCTTATATTTCCAAATGCCTAAATCCCCGAATCCTTACATCCCTGAATGTCCATTTCCCCAAATGTCTAAACCTCCGAATTCCTTTATCGCCGAACGCCTAATTCCTCGAATCCCTAAATCCCCGAATTTCTGAATTCCCGAGTTTCTAAATCCCCAAATTCTCGAATCCTTACATCCTTAAACCCCAAATTCTCAAATCCCAAAATTCATAAATATCCAGCCCTCCAAATTCTCAAATATTTCACAAATGTCCTAAATTCTAGCTTTCATAACTCCTATATGAACAATTGTAACATCAATAAAGTACATAGTTCCCCCTAAAATATTTATAATTAATAAAATACCTAAAGTACCTAAAGTGTCTAAACTAATATTTAATTTTCAGATCCACATTTTGTTGCCACAGCACGGCAAGAAATTGATGGGAGAGAATGTTGATATGCTAAAATGTGCCGCACCACCGGAACACCTAGGCAGAGACCTGTTATCGTTATCCAATCGAACTGTCCGTTGTTTGGATTTAAACGGAGCACAACCGGAGAAAGATGCCACAATTCTCATTGGCATGTTTATCGGTGTGATGCTCGCCATTCCTGTTTGCCTGGTGATATTCATTTTGTGGCGTCGCGGCTTCTTTTTCTGCGGACCGACAGGACCCGCCAGTTTCTCTCGCGCCTTCTATACGCGAACGTCCAACGACGATGATGTAGCTTGATGTAGAGAAATCTAGTCGATAGAAAAGGAACATTACAGAAAGAGGACTAGATAGGAAAATTCGATGAGCGTGTAACGTTGATCAACAACAATTTTAAATTTTCAAATTTTGGAATTTAGAACTTGAGAATTTGAAAAATTAGGTTAAGGAATGATAGAAGTGTTTACTATAGTTGCGACAGAAATGTGAATTGAGTTTATAATTTAACGATTATTTTGACAATGCTGTATTTATACATATGTTATCTTCGACTATGTTTGTATTTGTCCCGTGTATTTAATCATGTAGCTCCTATATATATTTTTATAATTAAAACTTTAATAAATGTATTGTTTCTATGGCACAATTTTTGTCTTTCAAAATTTCACAAAATTTTCCTTTCACTCTCTACCATGCTATGATAGTATCTTTATTGCGGAAAATTCGAAATGGAATTTACAAATTTAACATTTCTGTAAATGAAACATATAAGAAAAATGTTGAACATATTCCTGGTACTGAATTGCAATTAATATCAAGCTGAAGAATCGTGAGAATGTCCTTAAACATTTATTCAATTTAAAGTTACCATTAACTTAAATTGAAAATATTGTATTATGAACTAATATCTGAGCAAAGTTGGATAATGTCATAAAACGTAATTATATGGAATTAGGAAGGGTAGGTGCATATTACATTCTGTATTTTACACACTTACTTTTTGTTAAATTTATACAAACACCTTCTGTACAAAAAACACAAAAATCACAGAACTAGCATCTCATACTAAAACGAAGTTTCACAATAATTCCAAAAGAAACTTTTCCTACATCAAAGTTTCACTATCACCCTAAAATAAAGTTGTAACGTAACACCCAACATACTCTCTTGAACATAACTCTCCGAAAAATGTAGTAGAGTAAAAAAGGAAGGATGAAACATCATTTGGAATCTCGAACGTGGTTACTGTCGATTATCGTCCAAATGATCCCGCGAATGTTGTTCATTTTTCGGCTAACAAGTCCCGAGAGGGTTTGTTTAGCCTGCCTGTCGTCGGGTACGGTTTCCAGAACAGCGGCTAGAAGGGATAGTTTCGACAGCGTTAAGCTTGCGGACGGGTTTTTGGCTTTGCCTCGTCGACATCGAGGATTTCGGTGGATCGTGGATCGACGGGGGAGCGACGGGACGCATGAATGGACACGCGTCGGTAACACAATTACCAGGACGTTAATTTACTTGATAATCGCGGAAGCAACCCCGTCTAAATGCCGGCACGCGCCTCTTCTCCCTGCTGCCGTCACCGGACTCACCGGCCATCTAATACGACGGTTCAAACACGGCTCCTGGCTTCACGATTCTGTCATTACACCAACATTTTGCTAAACAGCTCGCAACACACACAATATTTCAAGAGTCATATTATCGGTAAAACTGACTTTACACATTGACTGACAAATTTTATTAGATACACTTTGCTACATTTATTATTCATAACTGCAAGTTGTATCTGCAATTAGATAAATAAATTCTGTGCAAATATAAACGTCATCTGTATGTGACGTGCTTCTATTTTGAAATCCGTTTAATCTCTCATCTTGAAAAAATTTTCAATTCAGGTCACTGTTTCAATATTTCGTTAATTTGATCGTAAAGCTATGTCGTAAAATTGTACAGTGTATAACTTCAAAGTAGTTCTGGTGTCCTTGAAAATATATTTTAAAGACTGACTTATCAAAATTAGCAAGTTCTGCTTCGAGATAATTACCACATCGTTAAATATCTTTGACCATCAGTTGCAAGAAAATATTTACTGAAAATTATATCGATGATAAACATTTTCATGCCTTGATAATTTCATTGATCGAAAGCTAGCCTATGGCGAGACACATACGTGACACAAGGATACGTGGACGTACACCAATACGTCGATTTTGAACATGCTGTATACATCGTCCGATAAGTAATCTAATCCGGAGCTCCTCCTGATCCGCATTCTCCACCCTTTCAAGACTCCATACAGATGTATTGACTTGCGAAGAGCTTTCGTATACCTTGACGCGAACGTAGGATCAATACCGTATGAGACGAAAAAAAGAAAAGAACGGATACCGAGAATCTGATAAAACAACAAATGAAAACTTCCACTTTTTTCTGGTACTGTTCTGTACGTTCGTGGAAAAAAATGTCCGCCGAAAGTAATTCGTGGAAATCGCACTGTGTATTTGCATTCTATCGAATCAACCATGAACGCATAAATGAATTCATTGGAAAAATTTATGTTGTATAATACCGAGAATCAGCTGGAGTTTCGACAAATTTTTAGTTTCAGAAAGAGATAACACTGAGCAAATTTTTTAATTCCGAGGTTGAGATAAAACTGAAGAAGTTTGAGACTCGGATAAAACAGAGTTTGTAAGTTTGGAAATGTTAATATCGACAAGTTAGAAAATTTATAAGATGAATGACAGTGTCTACGATCCAGGTCCCTTTAAAGGTAGGAAAATTGCGACTGGCTCAAAATAGAGTCCGGTGGACAAAAGTTGCGAAATGCGAGTAATAAAAATTCCTTTCGGACCGGTTAAACGACAAAAGAAGGTAGCTGAAGAGTGGATAGAAGGAGCGCGAACGTGGATCCGTGATCCAGGCAGAACACACAACAACATGGGGTGAACCACGGATATAGGACTCCTCGACGCCTCACGCCTCTCCTCTCCCTTTCTCTTTCACCTTTGATTCGAGGGTGATCGCAGGGGTGAGACCGATGCACCCCTAGCATAAATTCTGTGCAAATATAAACGTCATCTGTATGTGACGTGCTTCTATTTTGAAATCCGTTTAATCTCTCATCTTGAAAAAATTTTCAATTCAGGTCACTGTTTCAATATTTCGTTAATTTGATCGTAAAGCTATGTCGTAAAATTGTACAGTGTATAACTTCAAAGTAGTTCTGGTGTCCTTGAAAATATATTTTAAAGACTGACTTATCAAAATTAGCAAGTTCTGCTTCGAGATAATTACCACATCGTTAAATATCTTTGACCATCAGTTGCAAGAAAATATTTACTGAAAATTATATCGATGATAAACATTTTCATGCCTTGATAATTTCATTGATCGAAAGCTAGCCTATGGCGAGACACATACGTGACACAAGGATACGTGGACGTACACCAATACGTCGATTTTGAACATGCTGTATACATCGTCCGATAAGTAATCTAATCCGGAGCTCCTCCTGATCCGCATTCTCCACCCTTTCAAGACTCCATACAGATGTATTGACTTGCGAAGAGCTTTCGTATACCTTGACGCGAACGTAGGATCAATACCGTATGAGACGAAAAAAAGAAAAGAACGGATACCGAGAATCTGATAAAACAACAAATGAAAACTTCCACTTTTTTCTGGTACTGTTCTGTACGTTCGTGGAAAAAAATGTCCGCCGAAAGTAATTCGTGGAAATCGCACTGTGTATTTGCATTCTATCGAATCAACCATGAACGCATAAATGAATTCATTGGAAAAATTTATGTTGTATAATACCGAGAATCAGCTGGAGTTTCGACAAATTTTTAGTTTCAGAAAGAGATAACACTGAGCAAATTTTTTAATTCCGAGGTTGAGATAAAACTGAAGAAGTTTGAGACTCGGATAAAACAGAGTTTGTAAGTTTGGAAATGTTAATATCGACAAGTTAGAAAATTTATAAGATGAATGACAGTGTCTACGATCCAGGTCCCTTTAAAGGTAGGAAAATTGCGACTGGCTCAAAATAGAGTCCGGTGGACAAAAGTTGCGAAATGCGAGTAATAAAAATTCCTTTCGGACCGGTTAAACGACAAAAGAAGGTAGCTGAAGAGTGGATAGAAGGAGCGCGAACGTGGATCCGTGATCCAGGCAGAACACACAACAACATGGGGTGAACCACGGATATAGGACTCCTCGACGCCTCACGCCTCTCCTCTCCCTTTCTCTTTCACCTTTGATTCGAGGGTGATCGCAGGGGTGAGACCGATGCACCCCTAGCATCGTGTCCATGGCAACGGTGCCGGAGGTCCCGCCCCGCGTGAAATACGGGGCCAACCGTGGCGACGTCGAGCGTCGCGACGCCGACCAATACCGGCGAGTCTCGAGCCTTGAATATCCGGTCCGAGGTTTACTCTCCTTGACCAGTTAGAACGTCTGAGGGTGGAGATGATCGCGCGGGGGGTTGAATCGCCTTGAATCGCGCACCGATACTCCCTAAACGTACACCGTACGACGCTATACTCTTCATCGTCACCTTTCTCGTCGGTTTCTCTCGGCTGGACTCAATTCAATTAGAATTTTACGGGACTCGTTGAACGCGCCAAAACGACCCTCGGTCGGACATTTTCAGCAGCGACCAGTGAATTCTGACGAACTTCGACGTTGTGTACCTGTTCGAACAAATGGGAGAAATCCGATTAGTTTCTTCTCGTTGCCTTTAGTGTCTTTAGTGAATTACGGAGATACGTGTACGTGACTCTGTTCAGGGTCCATCGATGTAACGAGAGTATACCTAGTGAGAGTGTCTGTTAGTGTCGACATTTGACAACTCTTAAATTAGTGGTCATCCTGCGCCTGTCGGAAAGGATTTTAAGGACGATCATGTCGTGGTCAGTGAAGAGTACGTGATGAAGGAGATTCGAGTGATCGTGGTGTCTTCGTGTTAAGAATGTAAGCAGCCTCGAGTTGTCGGGATCGAAATCTGGTTAGAAAGATGCAGTCGACTTGCCAGCAACAACAGGCTCAACCGGGTCAAAATGCTACCTCGGCCAGCAGAACCTCCTTCTTGATCGAAGACATTTTAAGCCGCGGCACAGCTCAACCCCATTCTCCTCATCAACTTCATCATCAGCACCTCACGTCTAATCATGGGGTGCAACATCAGCAGTACCAACAGTTTGCCAGTTTATTGCCTGGATACCATTCGGCACCACCCACCGCCGCTTTCTTTTTGGGACCACTTTTTGGGAACACTGCCATGGGGGTCGGTGTGGTTCCAGGGGTCAGTGAACTTGCGGCCTTGAAACATTGTCGTCGACGGAAGGCACGGACAGTGAGTAACCATGTCCCATTTTATGATGACTGAATTGTTTGATTCTCCTTCGGGTTATGGAAGTTACAGTGGTTCGATCATTATTCGAGTGTTGATATAATTTACATAATCATGATATAATTCGTAATATAATTATCAAGCGTTGACATAGTTATTTGGAAAGTGAGGAGATCCTGACAAGTAGATACATTTTGCAGGTTTTAAGTTCTACAATTGCCAAATACTCGTTGACATTTTGCTAATGGATAATTATAATTTTTCATATATTAGTTTTCAAGATTTGAGAAAGTTCATTGAACGATAAAGTTTGTTTGTATTTTTCATTGTACCTATGTAAATAGTATTTACACGTTCTAGCGCCATGCGTTGTATCATCATGTTCAGTATTGCCACACGTTGTAGTGTGACGCATTGTATTCGCCATGTGTTGTATTTGCGACGCATTGATCGTTACGTATTGCACTTGTCACACGCTGTATTTGTAACATGTTGTCGCCAGTTGTATTTATCGTGCATTTATATTGTCTACGCGTTGTATTTGCATTGTATCGTTATATATTGTACTTTCCACACGTTATATTTATCGTGTATTGCGTTTGCTGTGTGTTGTATTTGTTATGTGTTTTATGTATCATGCGTTGTATGTGCAACTTGCTGCATTGTCCGTGCATTGTATTTGCTATGAATTATATTTTCTACACGTTGTATCCTCCATGCATTGTATTCGCAACGTGTTGTACTTGTAATGCATTATATTTGCAATAGATTGTATCTCTGATGTATTACATTTGCAACTCGTTTATCATCGCATAAGTACATACATTATATATTACACGATCACATATAATTTCACCACACGTACCGTCACGCGTTATATCATCTATTGAGACATCCTAAAAATTAACCAGATTGAACTTTCACTATTTTCTATTTTTTCGTGGATGAAAAGTTATTGCTTCTCTTATTTACTATTAAATTATTGCTTATGTCCCATTTAGGTGTTCAGTGATCAACAATTAGCGGGTTTGGAAGCTAGATTCGAGGTCCAAAGGTACCTCAGCACGCCGGAAAGGGTCGAGCTTGCGGCGGCTCTTCATCTCTCGGAAACCCAAGTGAAAACGTGGTTTCAAAACCGACGAATGAAGCACAAGAAACAATTGAGGAAATTGACCACTAGCGGGGGAAGCAACGGTAACCAGAATTCCAATCAGCAATGCACCGGTCAATCTGTATCAATTTCATCGCCTGCCGGTGAGCAAAGCATTTTTCTCTTACAACTAATAACAATTACACAGGTATTCCTAAAATCGTACTAACTAACGGCTGATTATACACACAAAGTTTAGTAAGGGATTTCTTTTTGATTTTTAAAAAAGAAATATTCTTTAAAATATTGATCCAAAATGCAATTATAAAGAAACTGTTTTACAATCTTTTTGAAAACTTTCCAAATTTAATTTTCTTAAAAACAATATAACACGTGTGGAAAAACGTAATTCGTTCTCTTTGACTTATTATTTAACGAAGACTCAATATTACGATTGTACGATGATTTGGGGTATATCCTGCAGAAGCCTTTTATATGTGTAAACGGATTAAGATGAGAAAATAGGCATCCTATAATCTAAAAATTAAGGTCTCAATTGACGTTGAATATAAAATACAAAGAGAACCGGAGTTTACATTTGAAATTTTGAAAAAAAGAAACTTTCCAAACAACGACACACAGGACGGTGATTCCAAAGGATGGTTTAATCGATAAAACGGGAAATCAACCTAGCGCTACAAACTTGATGGCGCTTAAAATTTTCACGCGTCGCGCCGATAAATGCGAGCGTTTAATTGCAAATTGCAGAATCTATGCAATTTCGTATCCGCGTCACAATGCGTAATTACCACTAAACATGGGTATCGACTTTTCGATAAACAGTATACACACACGTTCGCTTCCGTTGCTTCGCATCAATTAGCTCGGCTTAATAACACGATGTGTCCTACATGATCAACTTCTAATAAATCATATCGGCGATTCCGATGTAAAAATTCGCATCGCATTTTTACGATTCGAGAAAATCCAACAAATTACCTGGCAAAAATCGTTCTTTAAATAAAAGTTTAATGTCACATGACTGCATCAGAATTATGTGATTAATTGCATGTAGAAAATCTTTTGCGTACTTTGAGTATCGAAAGTGAAAATTAAACTGTAATCTTTTTAGCCACGCATTATATTGCTATTGTGTGATAATTTGTGCATTATACTGCCATGCGTTGTATCGTCTATACGTTCAATCACTCGTGCGTTAGATAACTTGTTAAATGACTCTTGCAATCCACTCGTATCGTCTATGCGTTAGATCACCCATCCGTTATATTACCCTCGCGTTATATCGCCACGCGTTAGATCCCCGATACATCAGATTACTCACGCGATAGATCACCTACGTGTTGTACTGCTTAAGCATTAGATTACCTCGCGTTATATCACCACTCGTTGTATCGCCGATGTGTTATATCACTCTCGTGTTATATCACCAAGCGTTAGATCTCCGATACATCAGATTACTCACGCGATAGATCACCTACGTGTTGTACTGCTTAAGCATTAGATTACCTCGCGTTATATCACCACTCGTTGTATCGCCGATGTGTTATATCACTCTCGCGTTATATCACCACGCGTTAGATCTCCGATACATCGGATTACTCACGCAATAGATCACCTACGTGTTGTATTGCTTAAGCATTAGATTACCTCGCGTTATATCACCACTCGTTGTATCCTCGATGTGTTATATCACTCTCGCGTTATATCGCCACGCGTTAGATCTTCCATACATCAGATTACTTGCGATAGATCACCTACGTGTTGTACTGCTTAAGCATTAGATTACCTCGTGTTATATTACCACTCGTTGTATCACCGATGTGTTATATCACTCTCGCGTTATATCACCACGCGTTAGATCTCCGATACATCGGATTACTCACGCAATAGATCACCTACGTGTTGTATTGCTTCATCATCAGATTACCTCGCGTTATATCACCACTCGTTGTATCGCCGACGTGTCACATCATCCTCGCGTTATGTCACTATTCGTTATATCGTCCACGCGTTAAATTCCTCACTCGTCAGATCAGTCACACGTTATATCACTCTCGCGTTATATCGCTACGTGTTATATTACCTACGCGCTAGATCACTCTCGCGTTAGCTCACTCACACATTAGATTTTCCATGCGTTATATTTTCAAACGTTGTACTATTCACGCGTCGTATTTTTACATAACGTCATTCATTATATTACCATACGCTTGTCACGTGTTCCATTATTATATTACCACGTATTCTATCGCTACGCGTTATGCAGTAGCACGTGTGCGACCGCAGCCATCGCAACGTATAATTTTCTTACAACAGTTGCACATATACGTTTACGAAGTGATTAAAGCAGCTGAAAGTTGTTTATGATTTAGTTTAATTTATCGCAGCGATCGCGTAAGTAATAATGTCGCTGAAAGTAGATCGCGGTTAGTGTATCGCAATTAAATCGTTATTAGTATAAACTTCGTAATTGCGATTATCAATTTGCATTGGAGCGCAGCTACCGCGTCGGAATTTCCGTGTACGTCAAATACTTCCCTGTTATCATGCTAATGGACCATATAATGCAACCAAAATTCGGCTGGCAATAAATTACGCAACTTCAGTTAACTAACCAGACTATAACCAAGGTAGCAGCAACTATAATGATTAACTAACATTGACCGGGGATAATGATCGCTTTTTGTTCTGCAATTCCCCGCAATTCGTGTCTCGTTTAATCGAGTTATCTGTCGTACAACCTCTACAGCGGATGAAATCATTTTACAGCATAATTATGTCGTTTCGACGATTCGGAAGTCGGAGGTTCACTTCGAGCAGAATCGATAAAATTCGAATCGTTACATACGAATTTTTTGCAAATTCGAAGAGATTCAATTAAACTTGGTTCAATAACGATTAAATGTCATAGTGTTACGTATTTCGAATATACGTCTGTAATACGATTTTTATTTCGAAATCGAGAAAGTAATTTTGAATATTTTTCGACGCGAAAGGGACCGTGTTTCCGTCGAGTAATGGAAATTGCTTGTGTTGGTTAATAAAGGCTGTTACACAGACTGCAAAATCATCGAATTAGAACATCAATAATAATGGGGAAGGAATAACGGCGCTATGCAAATACACCGGCGCAGTTATAACGATCTGCCAGTAATTAAATCAACTTGTTCGCCAGAATTGATCGAAAGCAATCGGAAACTTGATATTCGTCAAAATGTTACTTTTTGTCGACATTTGCAATAGAATTCGATACCGAACTAAGTACTGATTCGGTATTAAGTCAAATTAAATCAACTCGATACATTTCACATTCTGTGAATTTTAATTTAGAGATAACCGATACCAGCATATTTCATTACCTCCATGATTTAATATCGCTTTGAAATTAAAGACTGCGTAGGAGGTTATTAAACAATGTACGTTTTTGCAATTTACTTTGAAAAGGTGTATAATTTTCAATACGTATATTTGCATTTCATTTATCATCATTTTGTACAAGCATTATCAAGGATAAAATAGCAGAAACTAATAAATGTAAGATATCAGTTATTTATCCAATTTATGAAGACAGTTCAAGATATCCTCATTCACATGTTCGATAAAAACTTTGTATTACAATCTTATCTGAATGATTTCTTATCTCAACGATTCGTAATATCGTCAGTGTATGATAGAATTAGAAGCTAGACGTAATCGAAGCGAAACAGAAACGAATTCGATTATTTTTTCGATCGCATCGTTGTTAGCCGAAACGAACAGCCTCCTTAACCCAAGGGTGCGCGATCCGAACTCACCCTCTCGACTTACACCGCATCTACTGGTAACCTTCGGCAAGTTGCTCGTCTCGTTCGCCAAGATGGCTTCGGTAGGAAGGGCTAACGAAGTTAGTAGACATCTCCTTGGCAGCGAAGAAGAAGGGGGTTGTAAGGGGTGGAAAGCACGTAGAAGATGAGACCGCCTAGTCGTCTGGAGACTCGAACGGATACCGTCTAAGGAACCCAACAGACTTACGGCACCCCTTATTCCTTTTCCCCCTCTCTCATCCCCTGTATCCCCACTCCCTTCTTACCTCTTGTCTTCTCGATTCGGTCTTCGAGAAAATTAGTCAATTATCGGCTAAGTGCTCGGCCAGACCTACATTCGCGATTGCTCGCCACCGAGGGCTGCCCACCTTCTTAACTGTGTATCAGCGCGTATCTGACCCAATTTAATCGAACGATATTTCAATCTTACCAATCATTTTTCTTATTCAATCCTGTTGATTGCCTTTTTCTATCTAATTGATACCAACATCGGACTATTGGCAATTAATCAGCTGTTGCGAGAATGGCTGCAAATTTTTTCACCTAAATATTTTGTACTTTCGCAAATTTGAAAGTTTATGAAATTTAGAAGGATTAAGAGTTTTGAAGGTTTGAGTACCTTGGAGGTTTGAGTTTCAGAGTTTTGGTAGTTTCGAATTTTGGGAACTAATTTTGGATTTTTCGAAATGTTGGGACTTTGAAATTTTAGAATTCTGCAACTTCAAAGCTTTTAATTATCCCATGATCTTTGAAACACTGATTTCGTTTAAACTTCGTACAATTACAGAGCATAACAAGGTAATATTACAATACCATAGCAGGTAATTTTCTAAAAGAAACTAATAACTCAAGTTCGAAATTCTTATAATTTATAATTAAGATATTTGAGACTAATGTGATATCGGGCATAAGAATAAAATCAACATTTCTTCTTCTTTCTCTAAAAATAATGAATTGAAAAGGCAGATTTTCCTTTCATTCGACAGAAAATTCCAGAAAATTTTTCGAATTAATTTATTCGACTCCAGTTTAAAAGTGTTCCTTTTAATAAAGAAAATGGAAAAGAACAGAAAAAAGTTCGTATAAATTCCACGAGTGGAAAAGTCATGGTTCTCGAGTCTGCCGTTATTCACTAGCAGTAATACAGAAAGTTCTCTAAATAATGAACTACCATTTTTATTTCCTAATATTTTATCAAACCTGAATCACTCCCTCAACAAACATGGTCTGTTACTTCTTCAACTTCTTACAATTTATTCTCCTTACAAGCCCCAAAATTGCAAGTTTAATTGCAGTTGCGTTCATTTAGCTAACTTATCTGAAATTATTATTAAACCAAAATTACTATTATTAAACTTGAAATTACTAAACGCGGTTACTAAACTATACTCGGTAAATTACTGAATTAAATGGGGTAATTACTAAACTAACCGAGGTATACTATGGGAAATCAAAGACGAGACGGGGAATATCATAGCGATAGTTTTACGAGGTGCGATCATTAAATTCCGGGACTGGTCCCGTATATGCAGATAAGGTCACGTGTTTCAAATTTGGCTACTATCCCCTTCAAAGTAGTCCCCTTGTGCAGCTATGCACCGATCCGAGAGCCTCTGCCATTTTTGGAAAGCTTCCTAGAAGTCTTCTCGTTGAAGCGTGTCAAGCACCTGCTGCGATTGAATTTCGTCCACCGTGTCAAATCGGCGACCCTTGAGCTTTAATTTCATTTTGGGAAACAAACAGAAATAACGGGGTTCCAAATATGATGAATACGGAGGGTGAGGAAGGACGACAATTTTCCATGTTTCTTTTTTTTTATGTTCCTTTGTTCCAATTTGGAGTCCATCGTGATTTCGCAAAGGGGAGCGTGCGTATGCTACCATAAACTTGTATAACACAGGATTCAATGAAGATATCCCTTCCAAACTTCGTGTCATATGTCTCGAAGATTGTTACTCATATGTCCTGCCAGCGCAAGTCAATCGTGTCATTCGTTTAATCACAGCAGACACAATCCCGGAACTTAATGATCGCACCTCGTATTGAAATAATAGGAAAAAGATTTTTTTATCAGAACCAAATAGACGAGAACTGAGTGTCTACAGTATGTCTATATGTCTACAATAAACTGTTTCTTAATATTATTTTACGACTGTCGAAAAATTTAGAACAGCATTGATTGACTGTCAACGCAAGAGACGTTTACCCAACCCAATATTTATCTTAGTACTTCAAGCGTACCTAATAGAACGCAATTATTCGCTACAAAATTAACCCTTTCCCGTGCCATTTATTTATCAGATGCATCAGTAACTATTCAGGGCTATAACATTAAAACAAACAAAGAAAACTAAAATGTTGTATTTTATATTCAAGGATCCTTAACACTTTAACGACCGCACGTTTACGCAGTCAAACATCGCCAGGGGCCGGCAGTATTTTTGAAGAATTAATTTAAAAGAACTTTATTAAATTCACGAAAAAGTTAATATGAACAAAAAACAACTTGTACGATAGCTTAGCGTACTACACCAACGTAGAGCGCCAACATTTGCTCCATAATTTACATGGTACACCACTGTAGTGTAAAATCTAAAATTAAAAATAGGCAATAATTACCTAAAATCAAAGACGTGGCGATGAAATACGAAGCCAATAGCAATATCCACACTTGTTTACATTCATAAACTATCACACAGAAAGTGTGGCACTGGACAACAATCTTCGGCGGTAGCATCACACACATGTTGTGTGAGCGGTCGTTAAAGTGTTAATTATAGTTGGACCTAAATTTCAAGTTGAAGAGTATTCAAAATTTGAGTAAGGTTTATCAGGTTTGGCCTGTAAGTGCGTCACGAGTGAGACTCGTCAAAGCACGGGAAGAGGTTAACAATATACTAAACTAACGATACAACTAACAATATAATAAACTAACAAAATTGTTGACAGAGAGACCAGTGGATTTTTCGTTAAGCGGTGGCCGAGAATCGCGAGCGAGCAGCGACGCCCCGGTGGACTCCGACGACGACGAAATCGACGTCCTAGGCGACGAGACGCCGTCGCCAACGCGAAACAATAACATCCACGTGTCCAGACACAGCGGATCGCCAACGAGTTTTCATCAGATCACGCATTCTCATCCGATTAGCTTGTCTCACCAACCGCAACATGGTCAAACGATTCAACGTCAGCATCGCTGAAACGAACTGTTTCGAGGATCCTTCGAAACGCCTGGTTCGACATCCGACAAGAACGGTCTTTGTGAACAGTGAACAGGAAGAATTATTCGAATCCCATTGGATAATTGTTATTAGTTCGACGTGCAATTATAGTTTAAAGTTGAAACCACGGTTTAAGTGTCTAGAAATTTTTCGTGTCGAGGACGAGTTTTCGTTTGCATCCGAATCTTTCTCGGAAGCGAATTCGATCGAGTACTCGGTGTACTTTTAACTGTACCGTGAAACCGTGTCGTAAGTGTAAAAAAGAAATAGAGTAAGGAAAAATAAATCGTGTTTCCCTCCTTCTTATTCTTCGATTGTCGAGGTGATCAGTGAAAAGGATTAATGGTAAATTAATAGAGACGAAAATAACTGAATTGTGATCGAATCGATTATCCGGGAACTCACTGTAAAATACGAAGAGAAATTCTGTAAAATTTGTTAAGGACTACGCGAGCGAATAATGTAGAAATTGTAAACGTGTAAATGACTGTTTAATCGATCTCTCGCGATACTTTTTATAGCGAAATGCCGTAATAAAGCTAGTCTGTTTCGTGTCACTTTTTATAGAGGAGTAGAAAGTTAGATTGTGGTTCAAATTGGGATTAAAATGTCACGATGTAAGAAGCAAGCGCGTGTGTGTGTAACTTTTCCCTTTCCTTCGTTATAATTTCTCGATAATTATGATTTTATTAACAACTTTTATGAAATCGTTCATCCGCACTTTGTACATTAATTCGATGAATTCATCGCTTTTCCTGTATTTTCATGCAAAATCGCTTGAATTCTATTATAATAGAAAATTATTTTATTATAAATTAAAAATCACTTTAGTGTAATAAAAATTATTCTATCACAAATTAAAAGGCGTTTTAGTGTAACTAAAAATTGTTTTAGAATAATGAAACATTCTGTTGTAGATTATTACATTATTTTGTTATACAGTGGTTCTGTAGCGGACACGGAAGCGATTGATATTTTATGGCGTTTCGGGTCAAGAACGACGACCGTGCTTTTCGTGTAACATTATCGACCCACTAATTGGCAACGTGACATTTCTTACACGTTTGGGACACTTTAGAGACTTAATTCACTTTAATATTATAGCTAAAGCCAGCTAAAGAGCAATTAATCCGGACTTATATTCGATGACAAGAAGAGATTACCCATTTAATTATAGAACCCTGACTCGTACTACCCTTATGATCATACTATTTTATATGTTCGCAAAAACATGTGCTTTATGTCAATTAATTAATAACTAATAATATATAATTTTACATGGAGAAGCTATTTTTTTTAATACATTATGTTACTTATTATTACTTACATAGGTACAGATTATTCTAAGCTAGAATTTTCTAAAGGTTAAACCACTAAATTCTCAAAGTTCCAAATTCCTCAATTTTCCAATTTATAAATTCTCAAACAGATGAATTCTAAAAATTCCAAATTACCAAATTTTCACGGTGTTAAACTCTTAATCTCACAAATTTTCAAATTTCCAAATGTTCGAATTCACAAACTACCAAATTTCAACTTTGCAAATTTCCAGTTCTCCAAACTCTCAAACTCCCAAATTCTTAAAACTGCGAATTCCCAACTCCCCGATTTCTACAGAATCCAACTCTCAATGTCCCAAATTCCCAACTTTGCAAATTTCCAAATCTCCAAATTCCCAAACTCCCAAATTCCAAACTCTCCGATTTCCACAGAATCAAATTCTCAGTGTCGCAAATTTCCAAACGTCCAAACTCAGAAACTCCCAAATTCCCAACTTTGCAAATTTCCAAATCTCCAAATTCCCAAACTCCCAAATTCCAAACTCCCCTATTTCCACAGAATCAAATTTTCAGTGTCCCAAATTTCCAAACGTAAACTCACAAACTCCCAAATTCCCAACGTTGCAAATTTCCAAATCTTCAAATCCCAAACTCCCCTATTTCCACAGAATCAAATTTTCAGTGTCCCAAATTTCCAAACGTCCAAACTCATAAACTCCTGAATTCCCAACTTTGCAAATTTCCAAATCTCCAAATCCCAAACTCCCCGATTTCCACAGAATCAAATTCTCAGTGTCCCAAATTTCCAAACGTCCAAACTCACAAACTCCCAAATTCCCCAATTCTCCAATTTCCAAATTTCTAAATTCTCCAACAGATAAATTCTAAAAATTCCAAATTCCCAAATTTCCACAGTACTAACCACAAAATTCCCAACTTCCCGAACGTCCACAGGAAACTCCCGTTCCCCAAAATTCCGAACTTCCTCATCGAACTCGTCCAAATAAATCGCATCCCCTTTGGTGGCAAAAAGCGATAGTTACCTGTACAAAGATGTTCGCTACCTGTTGCGAAAACATTCGAAGGAAGATGTTCGGTAGAAAGAGGTGGCTATCGTTTAGCGCGGAGAGACAGAAGGTTTTCGTTGAAGCACGATAGAGGCGGAGTCTGTGGAACACGTGCTTCCAGTTGGGGTGAATCCTAATACCCAGATAATGGGAAGTAATTGCGAGGGATCAGAGCGAGCGTAGCTACTCTATCTCGGTTCAGGAGCGTACACAGAGAGGGTGGAGGTGTCGGCGTTCTCATCCCCTTGCGCCTCGCTGGAGATTCGTGGGGGTGGATGAAAAGGACGGTCCAACAGACACACGCATACACGCGTGTACACAAATTGACGGAGAGAACCGGAGGAACCGGTATCCCGGAGAGAGACAGAGATCCGTAATTATATTATCGGGGCAAAATCACGGCGCACATTCTCAAATGCACCCCGGCTGACGGTGTTTCAGACAGCTGGATCGTGAACGCTCGTGTTTCTTCGTGTTATCTTATTCAGGAACTCGTTCTCGGTATTATATACCGTCGTACACATTCGTTTTGTTAAATAATTATGCCGGTTGGAATGCATATAAACGCAATTGACTTCTGTGTTATTCGAAACTGGGTTTCTCGAGACCAGCAGCTTTTCTACCGAATTTACTGTTATTTTCTTTGATAAATGCAATTGTATCGGACACTGTTGTATCGAGCTCTTCACGTCTTTCTTCGAGGGCAGCTCGACAGTTTACATTCAATAGGCGAAACTGAATTCTTCCCGAAACCAGGTGCTTTTCTACCGCATTTACCTATTATGTTTACTATTTTTTTTTTTTGATAAATGCAATTATATAGGACACTGTCCTCTCGTTTTTCGTCGAAGGCAGTATACTCAATGTGCGTAAACGAAATTGATTGTGTACGACAGGTTTAGTGACTGCATAAGGTAGATAGATTGCTAATTTTATTTAGTCAGTAATTATTTTTTGCAAAAACCCAAAACATCTCCCACATCCCAACAATCCTCATCTGCAACATCCCCGTCACGACTCGAAGCAGCCTTAAAAAATATTTGAATTATATTTTCGTAACGTATACAAAAGGACAAGAGGTGGTATCGCAACAAAAGGAAAGAGGAGCGATAAAAGTGTAGCCGCGAGGTGATAGAAAAAGCAAGTACATGGCTCGTAAGCTAACGAGATCATGGTGGTCCATTTATGACGTTTATTAGATTCCGTTAAGACGTCTGTTATTACGGTACGTAAATAAAGGGTGGAAAATTCGCATCCCTCGCCGGGACGAGAGCGTGGCTGGAATGCAGCGAAAATAATGAAATAAAGGACAATGAAGTGGCAGGTACAATAGCCAATGGGGCCTAGGACGAACGGGAACGAACAAGGCGGCAAGTACAGAGAAGCTGGCACAGAGGGGGTTGAAAACGCGAGGGGGTGGCAGATAGGTAGCCGAGCGGGCTAAATGCAGTGGGCGTGTTCCCATTACTTTCATTATTTTTCGACGTAGGGGCTCGGTCGCGATATGCGCAGCACAGGGTGCATAGTCCGTTAAATGCAAGGATGGCTTCGAAAATCTACCTGCCACCACCGCTGTGTATCGCTATCGAGCTAACGCGAATAACGATGAGGTCAACCCCTCAAACGTTAACCCGTTCGCGGTCGTTCGTCTATCTACGGATTTTTCTAATTTACAACATTTTTTAGCGCTTTATCATTTACCAACTTATCACGTCGGCTTTCAGAACGTTCTGAAAATAATTCGAACGGGAGTCGAAAGTTATATTGACTTAGGTTCTTGAAACGGTTATGAAGTGTTAGACACTGCTTGTCGCTTGATCACAAAGTACGAGTACGGACTCGTCAAAATAGTGCAAGGGAGAAGCACATTTAAAAATTCGTATTTTTAACAGGAGTATTGAACAATGTCATACTGAACAGTTTCAGAATAATTTTGTGAAGGTAAATCAATTTTAATAAAGCAAAATTAGAAGTGGGGTATCAAAGCATGACCGATTATGAGCTTTCATTGATCTTTCCTGGGGACATTCATTGCAGATCTTATCTGCTTGCGAAGGTTATTTGATTTGCTTGGATTATTAGGTGGGCAGGGTGCACTAGATGATTTTCTCCCCTTTGATGTGCCTACGACATACCGTGTATCGTGTCATACACTTTATGACCCGTAATGGGTTCAATTTAACGCGTGATTTTAATTTTGTTGATCCCTTTAGGAGATTAGTACTGTTTATATATTTGACAATTGGTAATATTGCAAGATACTTAGAAATTTTTTAGTGAACTCGTATATTCTTAGATTCTCAAATTTCTGAATTACTGAGTTCTAAAGTTCTCAAATTGTCGAATGTTGATTTCCAAGTTCGTAAATTTTTAGATCCCTAAATTCCCAAATCCCGGAATTCTAATATTCCCAAATTTTAAATTTACAAATTCCTAAGTCTTCGAATCCCCAAATTCCGAAATTCTCTATTTTCTTTTCAATCCCTAAATTTCTAAATCGCCGGATATCAAAATTCGTAAACTTCTAAATCCCCAAGTTCCTCCTTTCCCAAACTTTCATACATCAAAACTCCAAAGTTTCTAAATTCTCCAACATCGAAATTCTCCCAAATCTCAAATAAATCCTATATCA